ACCTCTAAATGCGCATAGTTATAGCTTCTGTGCTGTGTCTGAATGTGTCAAATAGCTCAATGTGTGGACACACACACACACACGTACAGATAGGCGCTGTGGCTTAGATGGTTAAAGCGCCTGTCTAGTAAACAGGAGATCCTGGGTTCGAATCCCAGCAGTGCCTTTTAGAGGAGATCAAGTACACAGTAAAGGTCAAACTGTTTCCATGTGCTAACTAGTCTGACGACCATCAAACCGTGTACAAATGTGTATATAAGGGCTCTTGTGTACTGGTGCCCTTTACGTAGATGTTTGTGAAACAGTTGGTCCATAAAGTGATGCTTGCTACAAGAAATGGTTTGGTTTTACGGGTAAGCTTTCCTATTAGGGTTAGATTTTTGGTTTAGTTTTAGGGTCTTTGTATATATTTTGTTTTGAAATTGAATCAAGATAATTCAAGGTCCAGTTGTCAGGGGACACCTGGAGTAGAGCTGTGGACCTCTTGATCTGCAGTGAAAAACCACTGAGGTACCCCGTTTGTATTCACTGATCATGGGCTCTTGAAGAAAACTCTGCTAGATATTGTTTTGAAAGCAGACCCATAGAGTTACATTACTAGGATATAGTTGTAAGGGGGCAGCCAGCATGTATAGAACCAAGATGGCTGCTAGGTGAATTAGGCCCACAGATCTGGAATAGCATGATCAGCATGGCCCTTCAACACTGGAAGGGGTTTCCTCTGGCTGAGAAAGGAATCCTTCACATTAAAGGGCCCCTACCCAGTCGACTGTACCAACTGCTAGGCTGATCTATCCATTGAAATGGCTTGTAAGTATTTTTAATGATTAATGAATCATTAATATATAAGGGTGTTGATTCATATTTTGGGGTAATTGTCTCAAAATTACAACTTTTAGCTCACACTACTTTTTGTGTTCCTGGAAACAAATGGGAAATGACCGGAGAAATATATGGGTCTGACTAATGCCTAATGTCAGTTAACATGAGATTCATATGGAATGCGGACGTTACCTTATTACTCCAGTAAATAGAGACGATCTTAGTAACGACATGGCAACATTACCTTATTACTCCAGTAAATAGACGACCTTAGTAACGACATGGCAACGTTACCTTATTACTCCAGTAAATAGACGACCTTAGTAACGACATGGCAACGTTACCTTATTACTCCAGTAAATAGACGACCTTAGTAACGACATGGCAACATTACCTTATTACTCCAGTACATAGAGATGACCTTAGTAATGATATGGTAACGTTACCTTATTACTCCAGTAAATAGAGATGACCTTAGTAACGACATGGTAACGTTACCTTATTACTCCAGTAAATAGAGACAATCTTAGTAACGACATGGCAACGTTACCTTATTACTCCAGTAAATAGAGACGATCTTAGTAACGACATGGCAACGTTACCTTATTACTCCAGTAAATAGAGACGATCTTAGTAACAAAATGGCAACGTTACCTTATTACTCCAGTAAATAGAGATGACCTTAGTAACGACATGGCAACGTTACCTTATTACTCCAGTAAATAGAGATGACCTTAGTAACGACATGGTAACGTTACCTTATTACTCCAGTAAATAGAGACGACCTTAGTAACGACATGGCAACGTTACCTTATTACTCCAGTAAATAGAGGCGATCTTAGTAGCGACATGGCAACGTTACCTTATTACTCCAGTAAATTCCCCGGCACCATTAGCAGTGGCGCTAGCACAAAGGTGTAGTTAGCTATGCTAACAATAGACTTGTAGTCAAGACCGCCTCAACCGAGACCAAGACACTACCAAGACCAGAGAGTATCAAGACCAAGACAAGACCAAGACCAAGACTAGTTCAGCTCAAGACCAAGACCGAGACCAAAAAAAACGATTTTTTGGCCATTTTGCATGAGTTGTCGAACCTAAGCACCATACTGGGTTCAGCTGCTTAGTATAAATATGAGATTGTATTATTTCAACTACAGGCACAATAATACAGAGACAGTGCATGTCTTGTGTGTGAACTCACTATAAATGTTTTCATCAATTGGCTAAAAATCAAATATGTGTAGCAATTGCATGACCGCTATTTCTACACTATTTGAGGAGTGACTCTTGAGTGCTGTTAAGGACTGACATGACTATAGTCCTAAAGTCATCTCACAAAATAACAAGCCTCCAACACCACCCTGCACCTAAAAAAAAAGTCTAATGAATCAGAGGGGGGGGGGGGGGGGGGGGGGGGAGCGTGAGAGGACGAGCGCCAACGCCGTCTGTGTCACAAAATGCATGTGATTGGTACTTGAAGGGGGTGTATAATGATATCAAAAAAACAAAACAAAAAACTGTGCCTGCCTGGATATTATAGGTTACAAATCCCTTCGAGACCGCTCGGCCAGTCCGAGACATTGCGAGACCGAGAGGCCCGAGACCGAGACAAGACCAAGACCAAAGACTGTCGAGGCCGTGACAAGACCAAGACCACGAAAAAGTGGTGTCGAGACCAAGACCGGTCTCGAGAACTACAAGTCTAGCTAACAATGGCAAGCTTGTTGGCTCCAAAATGGCTTCCTGTCCTGATCCAGCCCAACAGTTAACTTACCAGTAAGGTTTAGCCACTACTGGGATCAGATCTAATGATCACTTTGTAAGTCATGTAAGTTGTTGTACCAAATCTGACCTAAACACCAATCTTTGAAACACGTCTGTGTACACGTGTGTAGGCCCACCAGGTGTACATAGATTAGATTAGATTAAACTTTATTTATCCCACAGCGGGGACATTCTCTTGTTACATCAGCAAAAGGTGTAGTATACACTAAAGAAGGAGAATAAAATAGAGACAAAAAATACAAATAGAAAATGCAAAAGACAACAACAGACCAAAGTAAGTCCAGCCTATGATCAATAAAGCAAACAGACAAACAACCGACAAGTGTACAGATGTGCAAGAATAAGTACTAATAGTGACAATGGCAAGATGAAAATAATATTGCAAAAGTAAGTGACATGATATAAATAATAGTGCAGAGGTAAGTGGTATGATACACTAAGTAAGTTACATTGCAGAGACAAGTGGCAAGATATACATAATATTGCAACGGTAGTGTCATGACATAATAATATTACAAAGGTAATGTCAAGTGGCATGATATAATATAATTGCACATGGTAAGTATTTGGATGGAGATATAAATACAGATATAAAAATAAAATAAAAATAATATACAGTTATGGTGAGTAGTGGTGGTAATTGAAAAACAGAAACAGAGACTACAACAATATCAGGTGGTGCAGGTGTTGTACAGTCTGACAGCAGTTGGGATGAAGGACCTGCGGAAACTCTCCTTCTTACACTGTGGGTGGAACAGTCTGCTGCTGAAGGAGCTGCTCAGGGACCCCACAGTGTCATGTAGGGGGTGAGAGGTGTTGTCCAGGATTGATGTAAGCTTAGCTAACATCCTCCTCTCCCCAAGTTCCTCTATGGAGACCAGAGGACAGTCCAGGACAGAGCTCGCTCTTCCCTGTCCGTGCTGCCCCCTCTCCAGCAGACCACAGCATAAAAGATGGCCGAGGCCACCACAGAGTCATAGAAAGTCCTCAAGTGAGCCCTGCACACTCCGAAAGACCTCAGTCTCCTCAGAAGGTGGAGGCGACTCTGGCCCTTCTTGTACAGAGCATGTGTGTTGTCAGTCTAGTCCAGTTTATTGTTTAGGTGAACACCCAGGAATTTGTAGTTCTCCACCACCTCTATGTCTAATCCCTGGATGTTCACCGGTGTGAAGTGGGATGCTTTCCTCCTGAAGTTAACGATCATCTCCTTCGTCTTGCTGGTGTTGAGCTGAAGCTGGTTGAGCTCACTCCAGCTGACAAAGTCCCTGATGACCGTCCTGTATTCCAGGTCCAACCAACAATGGCTGTGTCGTCAGAGAACTTCTGGATGTGGCAGTGGGTGGTGTTATGGGTGCAGTCCGAGGTGTAGAGGGTGAAAAGGAAGGCGGAGAGCACCGTACCCTGAGGTGCACCTGTGCTGCAGAGCACCACGTCAGACACACAGTGTTTATGTGTTACTTCCCTTTAAAGCAGCATTGGCGTTTTTGTTTGACACGGCTAAGTACAGAAAATGTTCTACAAACTAATTTGAGCTGATGCTGCCCTATACGTCCTATAAACTATGCAAATGTAATGATTTAATGTTTCTGTCAGTATTTACTGCATGACACTGAAGCGTCTTCCAGAAGAGAATGACTTGTAGACGTGTGCAGGCAAACAGCACACACTGTAGACAGAAGCAGATGATTTCCACGAGTATTACAAGCAGCAGTTACAGGATGCAAACAAAGTTACAGACATGAAATTACATCATTATCAACCGGAAAAGGCACTGCTGGGATTTGAACCCAGGATCTCCTGTTTACTAGACAGGCACTTTAACCAACTAAGCCACAGCGCCTATCTGTTGGGCATGGCTGTATTTGGATACCTAAAGCTGGCAGGTAGTGGGTGGGGCGCAGGTAAACATTGATCCAATTTTCCAACCATGTGAAGCCAGTAAACAGAAAGGCCTCTTTTCCGTGTGTGATTGTGTCCGAGCGGACATGGACATATAGTATGCTTAGTAAGTTGTGATCTGTAGTGGATAAAGAAGCTACACTAATCGGATTACCACCAATCGTTGCCTGTGAATGCAAGAACCAAGGCTATCACCCTATCAACCCTCATGGCAGGCAGGCAGGCAGTTAAAACAGCAGTTTTAACAGTTCTGCTGTAGAACAATGTAGAAGAAGAGATACGTAGAGGTCTTTACACCACAGTAGAGCAGTTCTTAGCAGTTCTTAAATATGTACTGTGTTTGTTTGTTGTCATTATTTAAACAAATAAGATGAGCAGGATTAACTCAAACATAAGCTGAGTAGAAGTTAGGGTTGCAGTCACCAGGACATGCTGTTCATGAAGTGTGTGGACAGTCAACGCACGGGCATGACGTTTCTAGTCGCCGTCTGCGGCTATGCTGCAATTTGAACCCAGGATCTCAGGTTTACTAGACAGGTACTTCAACCAACTAAGCCACAGTGCCTACATAGTGTATAGGCCATAGTATAGCTCTATAGTCAGCCTGTTGTATTGTTGACCTTGTGTGTGTGTGTGTGTGTGTGTGTGTGTTGGATAGAATAATACCACAGTAATGTAAGTTGTATTACCCCCTGGGGTAATGTTCAATTTGTGTTTCATTCATCGTATTTTCATACATCTGCGTTAGGGTAGAGGTGTACATCAAACCTGAACTTTTCCAGCCAATCGAATCATTTCGAACAAGAAGCCAACGAATCAGCGTATGTATGTGTGTATGTAATGTATGTCATTCTTTCACAGGTTGGCACTGTGGCTTAGATGGTGCCTGTTTAGTAAACAGGAGATCCTGGCTTCAAATCCCAGCAGTGCCTTTTGCGTCAAAAGGACAAACAAACACAACAAGACCTATAGACACATCTGTACAGAAGGTCGTGTTTGATGGTCATCAGACATGCATGGGAACAGTTTGATCTTCACTGTGTACTTGTTCTCCTCTAAAAGGCCCTGCTGGGATTCAAACCCAGGATCTCCTGTTTACTAGACAGGCGCTTTAACCATCTAAGCCACAGCGCCCACATGTGAGCATGGGTGTGCATATGCATTCGAATCCCAGCAGTACCTTTTGCGTCAAAAGGACAATCAAAGACCTATGTAAAGGGCACACAAGAGTCACTTATATACACATCTGTATAGAAGGTCATGACAAAGTGATGTTTGATGGTCATCAGGCAAGTTAGCACATGAAAACAGTTTGACCTTTACTGTGTGTGTGTGTGTATGTATGTATGTATGTCATTTTGTATATATGTATGTAATGTATGTGTCAATTTCTGTTTCCATGTGCTACCTTGTCTGATGACCATCACACATCATTTCGTCATGAAATTCTATACACATTTTTATGAAAGTTGTATGGAAGTGCTTTAACCATCTAACCCACAGCGCCCACGTGTGCATATGTGTGTATGTGTGTGCGCGCACGTGTGTATGTCTGTGCGAGTGTGTGTGTGTATGTTATAAATATGTCTGTTTTGTGTGTGAAAAAACAAAATGTTCTGGGTTCGATCCCCCGATGTCCACAGTCTACCTGTAGGCATCCTAGAGCAAGATGCCCCCTAACCCCTACCTGCTGCTTAATGACCTGTCTCTGTACTGTCTAACCCCTACCTGCTCCTTAATGACCCGTCTCTGTACTGTCTAAGCCCTACCTGCTGCTTAATGACCTGTCTCTGTACTGTCTAACCCCTACCTGCTCCTTAATGACCCGTCTCTGTACTGTCTAAGCCCTACCTGCTCCTTAATGACCTGTCTCTGTACTGTCTAACCCCTACCTGCTCCTTAATGTCCTGTCTCTGTACTGTCTAACCCCTACCTGCTTCTTAATGACCTGTCTCTGTACTGTCTAACCCCTACCTGCTCCTTAATGTCCTGTCTCTGTACTGTCTAACCCCTACCTGCTTCTTAATGACCTGTCTCTGTACTGTCTAACCCCTACCTGCTCCTTAAGGACATGTATCTGAATTCACTGTCAGTCAGTTGATTTGGATACAAATAAATAGAAATTGATGGTAATAAATAGTAAATAGTAATCTACAATAATAAGAGCGAAAGTTAAATTACAGTAATTGGAGGTGACTTCTATTCCTCAACGGTTGAAGCTAATCTTGTGGATAGGGCTCTGCTGGGATTTGAACACAAGAGCTCCTGTTTACTAGAAAGGCACTTTACCCAACTAAGCCACAGGGCCTAAATTGCGTAAAGGCCATAGTATAGCTCCAAAGTCAGCCTGTTGTATTGTTGACCTTAGGTATGTATATATGTATGTATGTAATGTATGTGTCATTCTTTCACAGGTTGGCACTGTGGCTTAGGTGGTGCCTGTTTAGTAAACAGGAGATCCTGGCTTCAAATCCCAGCAGTGCCTTTTGCATCAAAAGGACAAACAAACAACAAGACCTATAGACACATCTGTACAGAAGGTCATGACAAAGTCACGTTTGATGGTCATCAGACTAGTTTGCGCATGGAAACAGTTTGATCTTCACTTTGTACTTGTTCTCCTCTAAAAGGCCCTGCTGGGATTCGAACCCAGGATCTCCTGTTTACTAGACAGGCGCTTTAACCATCTAAGCCACAGCGCCCACGTGTGTATGTTTGTGCGTGTGTGTGTGCACACGTGTGTGTGTGCACACGTGTGTGTGTGAGTATACCTGTGTGAGTATAACTGTGCAAGTGTGTGTGTATGTTATAAATATGTCTGTTTTGCGTGTGTGTGTGTGTAAAACCGAAAGGTTCTGGGTTTGATCCCCCAAAGTCCACAGTCTACCTGTAGGCATTCTAGAGCAAGATGCCCCCTAACCCCTACCTGCTCCTTAATGACCTGTCTCTGTACTGTCTAACCCCTACCTGCTCCTTAATGACCTGTCTCTGTACTGTCTAACCCCTACCTGCTCCTTAATGACCTGTCTCCGTACTGTCTAACGCCTACCTGCTCCTTAATGACATGTATCTGAGTTCACTGTCCGTCAGTTGATGTGGATACAAATAAATAGAAATTGATGGTAATAAATAGTAATCTACAATAATACGAGCGAGAGTTAAATTACAGTAACAGGAGGTGACTTCCATTCCTCAACAGTTGAAGCTAATCTTGTGGATAAGGCTCTGCTGGGATATGAACACAAGATTTCCTGTTTACTAGAAAGGCACTTTAACCAACTAAGCCACAGGGCCTCAATTGTATAACGGCCATAGCATAGCTCCATAGTCAGCCTGTTGTATTGTTGACCTTAGGTATATATGTATGTATGTGTCATTCTTTCACAGGTTGGCACTGTGGCTTAGGTGGTGCCTGTTTAGTAAACAGGAGATCCTGGCTTCAAATCCCAGCGGTGCCTTTTGCGTCAAGAGGACAAACAAACACAACAAGACCTATAGACACATCTGTACAGAAGGTCATGACAAAGTCACGTTTGATGGTCATCAGACCAGTTCGCGCATGGAAACAGTTTGATCTTCACTTTGTACTTGTTCTCCTCTAAAAGGCCCTGCTGGGATTCGAACCCAGGATCTCCTGTTTACTAGACAGGCGCTTTAACCATCTAAGCCACAGCGCCCACGTGTGCATGTTTGTGCGTGTGTGTTCACACGTGTGTGTGTGTGTGTGTGTGTGTGTGTGTGTGTGTGTATGTCTATGTGTGAGTATATATGTGCAAGTGTGTGTGTATGTTATAAATATGTCTGTTTTGTGTGTGAAAAACCGAAAGGTTCTGGGTTCGATCCCCCAATGTCCACAGTCTACCTGTAGGCATCCTAGAGCAAGATGCCCCCTAACCCCTACCTGCTCCTTAATGACCTGTCTCTGTACTGTCTAACCCCTACCTGCTCCTTAATGACCTGTCTCTGTACTGTCTAACCCCTACCTGCTCCTTAATGACCTGTCTCTGTACTGTCTCACCCCTACCTGCTCCTTAATGACCTGTCTCTGTACTGTCTCACCCCTACCTGCTCCTTAATGACCTGTCTCTGTACCGTCTAACCCCTACCTGCTCCTTAATGACACATATCTGAGTTTACAGTCAGTTGATTTGGATACAAATAAATAGAAATTGATGGTAATAAATAGTAAATAGTACTCTACAATAATAAGAGCAAGAGTTAAATTACAGTAATGGGAAGTGCCTTCCATTCATCTATGGCTGAAGCTAATCTTGTGGATAGGGCTCTGCTGGGATTTGAACCTAAGATTTCCCATTTACTAGAAAGGCACTTTAACCAACTAAGCCACAGGGCCTCAATTGTGTAAAGGCCATAGTATAGCTCCAAAGTCAGCCTGTTGTATTGTCGACCTTAGGTATGTATATATGTATGTATGTATGTAATGTATGTGCAGTGGCGTTTCTACATGTAAAAAACCGGTGGGGCTAGGCACTTTTTTTTTTTTTTAAATGACGTACCAGTGTCCGTGACGCCACCCGTTTGTTTTCACAGTCGTGGCAATCTTTGTGGAGGTTGACTCCGCCTGTTCCCGGCTATCCTGCACAACACAGGACTGTATGTAAAATCTAGTTCAACATCTGACCTGTGGAAGGCAGTAATACGCTAAACGGCTCTAAACCTATCAGTAAACCAAGCCAATGTGGAGGGGGTATTAGAATATATTCAAACAAATTACGGGGCATTTTAAATTTGTTTGAAATTCATTTTTTGAAAACGTTACAGCCCTAATATATTACAAATAAAATTGGTAATTTTCATAAAAAAGCAAAAGTATTTCAAAATAGAGATTGAGCTTTCTTCATTGGTCTAACTTACGTGTCAGTGTCCCACCATGCTGTTTGTAGCCCTGGCTTGGTGTGTCCCATTCTCTATTCAGCCCTCAGCTCCACCCACAAGGAACTGTGGAAAGATAACCAGGACAGCAGGCAGGTACTGGGGCTCAACCATTACAAATAAAATATACTTTAACACTATTCAGTATGCTGGGCTTTTGGTTTTTGAACTAAGTGACTGTTATCCATGTATCATATATATTTAATTAATAAAGTACATTAGTGCAGCTTTTAATGTTTTATTGCTGACATCAAAACATTGCAATAATGAAAGTATAGTTTTTAAACTTTAAACTAAGCTTCCGCAAACCTAAAATGACACTAGTGCAAACAGCTGTAAGAGCCACTATAAGAACCCAATATCATGTTACCATGGAGACCTCCCATAGGCCTAGGCAGTGTCCTGAGGAGATATCAAAGATAACAGCTGTGAAAGAAAAGATTCAGAATGGCCTGTCTTGGTTTAAAGCCCACTCACCACGACAAGGTGCAGGCCAGGAGTGGGGACATATAAGACGGGACAAACATAAACAGACACAACATTGACAAGAACAACGCTTAACTGTCACTGTGTTACATGGCAGAAGGTATCGCAGCACAACCACCATCTGTGATTTACAGGAGACATCCGTTGTCTCGTCGGCCTGTACAGCAACACATGATGTCTCGTCCACTTGTTCGGCTGTCCCTGTCCACTTCATACATGCAGTCTAATAGTTGGTCCTATGGTGATGTCCCTTTGAATACGGGCTGAGCGCCATAGTGCCGCTGAAGCCGAGCATCGCCCTCACACATCGTCTCAAAAATACACCGGAGTATCCCCGGATTCAGACCGCCGACTCGTCGTGACCCCGCAGTGCTGTCTCACATTTCCCACACAGTTTAATACAAGTGATGATCCGACCGAGTACATACCTGTTTTCGTTTGCGTACCTCCGACATGCTTGTTAGCAACTTCTCACACGGCGCACACGTGAGGACGAAGTCACTCGAGTCATGACTCATCACGCCGCGCCGCACACTACAGCCAATAGCTGCGAACAATGAAATGACGCTGTAGCGGAACGAACCATATATGTCCATAGCAGTGCCGGTGGGGATAGCCCTACCATAGGAAAAATATTTTTCTCCGTCCACTTCAACGGAGAACATGCTGAGCATGCGCAGTTCAATTTTTCAAGTCCCAATACACACTACCATTAGACAGGTGGGGCTAGCTCCACTTAAAGCCATTTCTAGCCCCACCAGCCCCCCTCAGGCTGAAGAAGCAAGCTAGGGTCGACTAAAAATGAACTAAAAGCGCCAAACATATTATTTTACAGTACTTTATGGGGAGATTTTTTTGAAATATATATATTTTAAAAAAAATGTATATATAATTTTTTATTTATTTTTTATTTATTTTATTTTAATTTTAATTTTAATTTTTTTTTTTTTCTTGTGAGAGAAGGTGGGGCTCTGCCCCACCTGCCCCTAATGACCAGTCGCCACTGTGTATGTGTCATTCTTTCACAGGTTGGCACTGTGGCTTAGGTGGTGCCTGTTTAGTAAACAGGAGATCCTGGCTTCAAATCCCAGCGGTGCCTTTTGCGTCAAATCACAAACAAACACAACGAGACTTATATACACACCAGTATAGAAGGTCTGTCGTGTTTGATGGTCATCAGACAAGTTAGCGCATAGGAACAGTTTGATCTTCACTGTGTACTTGTTCTCCTCTAAAAGGCCCTGCTGGGATTCGAACCCAGGATCTCCTGTTTACTAGACAGGCGCTTTAACCATCTAAGCCACAGCGCCCACATGTGCATGTTTGTGCGTGTGTGTGCACACGTGTGTGTGTGTGTGTGTATGTCTATGTGTGAGTATACCTGTGTGAGTATAACTGTGCGAATGTGTGTGTATGTTATAAATATGTCTGTTTTGTGTGTGAAAAACCGAAAGGTTCTGGGTTAGATCCCCCGATGTCCACAGTCTACCTGTAGGCATCCTAGAGCAAGATGGCCCCTAACCCCTACCTGCTCCTTAATGACCTGTCTCTGTACTGTCTAACCCCTACCTGCTCCTTAATGACCTGTCTCTGTACTGTCTAACCCCTACCTGCTCCTTAATGACCTGTCTATGTACTGTCTAACCCCTACCTGCTCCTTAATGACCTGTCTCTGTACTGTCTAACCCCTACCTGCTCCTTAATGACCTGTCTCTGTACTGTCTAACCCCTACCTGCTCTTTAATGACCTGTCTCTGTACTGTCTTACCCCTACCCGCTCCTTAAGGACATGGATCTGTACTGTCTAACCCCTACCTGCTCCTTAAGGACATGTATATGAATTCACTGCCAGTCAGTTGATTTGGATAAAAGTAAATAGAAAAAAATGTAATAAATAGTAAATAGTACTCTACAAAAATAAGAGCGAGA